GTGCGCAGCTGGAGCAGTGCATGGCTGTGGTCGAGCAGCTGGAGAGGGAGAACCAGGGAGCCTTCTATAGCAACAGCCTCTTCCTGGATGCCCAGATGCTCCAGCAGTGTGGGGACAGCACCTCTGGAGAGGGGTATGCGCAGTACCTGGCAAAGGTGAGACAGCAGGTGGAAAAGCAGAGGCAAGAGCTGAAGGCGAGTGAGAGTGACTGGACGCTCAGGGCGTTCCGCACTGTCTATAACCGGGCAGTTTCACATTTAGAGATTTGTGTTGGTATTGTTTGGTGCAGCTTATTTTTTCTTCTTATCGTTTTGATCCTTGTTTATCTTGTTTAACCTTTGTATTTTAGAGCATGTTCTTAAGTATCACCACATAGATTGATTGTCCAAGTGTGGTCAGGTCTGTCAGCCAGACTGACATCGTCTTGTTAAATCAAAAATTGGTTTTCTCTCAGCCTTAGTTTGAGATAGGAGCTCCAAGAAGACAGATGGTTAACATGGAGCTTGAGACGACGTTCCACCCCAGGTAGAAGCAGAACTGCCATCTTGGAGATGAATTGTTTGATTGTCCTCCTCAATTAAAACTGAAACTCAGGCCGGCAGGTGGCATGGTGGTTGAGAACGCTGGCCTCCCACATGGCTGACTGCAGTTCAAGTCCTGGACCTGGGAGCTTGCTTTCTCACTCCCCCCCTCCCCTCGCTCACTTTGTCCCTCTGTGGTCAAATTAAAATAAATAAATAAATAAATAAATAAAATAAAGTTCAATAAAATAATTAAAAAAAAAAAACAACTGAAACTTACATCTAAAGGACAAATCCCTGTCATTAGTGAGCCCCACTGAAAATTAAAGGGGGCCAGCAGGTGGTGTGGTAGGTAAGGGACTGGACTCCCGCATGGCTCACGTTGATTAAAGTCCCAGACCTGGTGACTTGAAGATCACATTTGGTGCGTGCGCATGTGTGTTTGTATGTGTGCCCAAAATCCCAGGAGGAGAATGGAAGGGACTCTGGAGGAGGGGTTGTGGCATGGCTATCCTCCTGGGGAGGTGACTTCTCACTTTCCCTTTCAGTATCTCTCTCCAGCAAGCATATACCTTATGGCAAAAAACCTTAAAAAATAAAAATGAACTAAATTTCTACATTTCTGTAGTTAACCCTTAATCCCATAGCATCTCTCTTCCCCATAAAAGCATATGTTTGTTGGCCAACCACTCATCCTTACATGTCTCTCCAGAGCGGCCACACTGAAATATGTTCTCCTTGCCCCTCTCATCAACAATTTCTCCTCTCTGTGTTTTGTTGAACTTCAGGCAAGGGGTGAGACCTGCTTTGGGTCTTTGGCCTTCGGCCCCTCACCCGTCCTCAGCCAGTTCAGGAATGGACCCTCCTGGTCTGTAGAGGGCACTACTTATCTGTGCAGCTCCCATTTCCCTTCCTGACAGAATCCTGGCTTGGGTCTGGCCTCCACCCTCCCTCAGGATCACGTACCTCAGCTCCAGAAATGCCAACCGGGTAAATACGGGCCATTGTCTAGACAAGGACTGGTCCAGGAATGGATCTGAGACTTGAGGCAGAACAATGAGAAGTGAATAAAGGTGGGGCCAGCACGTTCTTCTCTTCCTCGCAGAGACTTACAGAGAGTCTCTAGTGCCCATCCCCGCCCTGGCATTGCTGGGTTTGAGTATGAAGCTCCTGCAGCCGTTTTGCTCCCAACCCAAGGTTGGAGGCAACGCTTTAAAGCGGAACAGAGAGATGGAGCTAACCTGAGTCTCTGAATACTCCCCTATCTCTGGATTTCCGATGATTAGTTAATAATTTTTTTAGTTGTTTAAGCTGCTTGAGTTTTGCATCTCTCTTATCTGTCTTTGAAAACTTTGAACTAATGAAGAGTTCTCCACATTCTCTTTTTATTTCTTAAACACACCAGAACTTCCCTGTTCTCATGCGTCCATTGCAGAAGAATCTAGAAGAAATCAACAGGTTTGTCTTTTCTTGTACCTAGAGTTAAGAACCACCTTCCTCTTCTATGTAAGTGCCTGCTACATGGTAGGCCCTGCTTGAGCTCTGAGTAAAACAAAGCACATTTAGCTGGATTGTGTTGCGAATGGCACTGGGAGAGGGCAGAGGGACTGTTAGCACTCTGAGCAGGGATTTTTCCACCATTTAGCAGGGGGCCCAACAGAAGCAGAGCTCACATTTGAACCCTCTCTAAGGAATCACTTTGGCAAACATCCGTGTGTGGCCAAAGGTGAGCAAATCCCTTTCTCATTCTCTACCGTAAAATGTCCTTGGGTTAGCCCAACAGCTTTATCCCCAGAGTCGACCTGGAGGGATGTCAGCTGGGTCCCGGCAGCACTGCTCATGGAACACGTGACCCCTCATTGGTGGACTGAGTCTGACCTGGGGAACTGGGAATGATCCACCCATACACCTGCAGCCCTGCTCCCTAAGGTTTGGATGGGGCACATTTGGGCCTGCTTAGGAAGGTCTTCCTTGGAGGGAGGATGACGCAACCATTGTCTAGTAGATTGCTTTCCCAGAAGCTTCACGGCCAGCACATCCATATCTGATGTCTTCGTCTTCCTCTGTCCAACTCACTGTCATTCTGAAGGGCCGCTGCGATAAAGGAGCCACGCTGCAGAGGGTTGACCAGGACAGGACCTGGGTTCCTCCTTGATGTAGCTGCCAGTGACCAAATGCCTTGACCTGGGCCTGTGTCCCCCACATCTGTCCTCTCCTCTCCACACTGCTGTTGGCATAGTGCAGGTCCTGACTGTCAGGTGGATCTTTTTCCTCTAGATGTCATCCCTGTCCCAGTTCTTAGTTATGTAATCCAAGCACCATACTGCTGCCACGTGATCTTCCTAAGAAGCACCAACCTGCCCCAAAGCCTTCAGTGACTTCCTGTTATTTAGAAGGTGTACTCTGAACCCCTGAGGGTGAGGCACAGGCCCCACCCCTGCCCAGTGCCCGCACCCCTGCACAGTCCTCGCAAGTGCTGTGCATTCCTCTTCTTTGGCCACAGGCCCCTCAACTGCTAGTAACCTTCCCCGAGAGGCATGCATGTCTCTGCTCAGCTCAAGTGTCACACCTCCAGGAAGACTCTGCAGAACCTCCTGTGGGTTCTCTTTTGCTAACATCACTTCTAAAAACACATCTTTCACACCCCACTCTCAGATGCCGTCCTCACTGCCCTCTTTGGTGCCTCTGTGTAACAGAAACCAGGCATTACTTCTCTGTATTCCTGGTGCCGAGTGTAGACTCCGACACTCCCATGATCACATAACAAGTCTATGGAGCTGAATTACATCATGAAAGGGTCAAACCAGTTTGGGTTGGAGCAGACTAGGAGCATTGCACTGCGGAGTGGTCCTTGGCCTGAGGACTCAGAGCTGCTCAGGCTTCCCAGGCTCTGGAGAGTTATGCACCGCCCACACACCTGGCTACTATGTGTTCTGAGATAGATGCAGAGGTCAGACCGCAGGGACCAGCTCTGTGTCCAACAGCTGTGCTGGGCAATGACCGCAGCACCTCACAGTCAAGCTCCTGACTCCCCCAGAACCAGCCCTTTGCTCATCCATTCACAGCCTGCCCCAGACTGCAGATCTTCCTTATAGGGTACCAAGGAGCAGGGAAGGGAGGCAGCTGCCACGAAGGAGCGAAAGGAGACACTGTGTCACAGGGCCCCAGGGACTGCCTCATGGGATCCCATGGATTCTCAACCCCAGCTCAGATTTCACCCTAATGTCTGCCTTTACTACCACTGAAGCATGGACTGCCACCCTCTCCCCACACTCCAAGGACATCGCACAGGATGGTACTGGATTGCACTGAGTGGGGTTACAGAGGTTGCATCACCACCCCTGGCCAATGATGGGGAGTTTACTCTGACAGGCTACAGCCCGGGCCCCAATCTGGCCACACCTGTTCCGTAAACTGTGAGCTCAGAAGGGTTTTTATATTTTCCAACAATTGAAGAAATCAGAAGAATATTTCAACTTTACACACGATAATTACGTGAAGTTCAAAATGCAATGTTCACAAAAGCTTTGTGGGGATGTGACCTTGAACATGACTTGCCGCTTGTTTGAGAAGACTTTTGCCCACAAGGGCAGAATAGAACAATTCCAACATTTATCCTGTAGAGGAGTATTTGCAGAAATTTCCAGATGAGCACAGGACAGTCTAACCACTGGACTTCCAGCCACTGACCTCGCTGTCCCTGGGGCAGGACTGTATCAAACTGCGGAAGCCCCGCCCCCCACGTCCGGGCACCTTTCCGATCTCTTTCGCACCTTTGGAATCCCCTTTGATTCAGCAGCTTCTCATTATCAGGGTGAGGTGGCTATGGAGGTCATCTCTTACAGCCCGCAATGAAATTAGGGCATGTGTATGAATAAAATACGGAATTCTGCCACCAGCTTTTCAAATAACACGTTCATTTCTCCCCTTGATGTGACAATTGTAGAAAGTAGGGCCTGGGGTGAGAGGGTCCACACACCTGCCTTCCTGCAAGCCCGCTAGCAGTTCATGACCGTACCTGAAGAATCCACGGTTTCTTTTCCTTTAAGATTATTTCTTCTTTTTTTTTTTTTTTAATTTAAATTTATTTATTTATTTTTTTAGAGAGAAATTTTTGCCATAGGACATGTGCACTAGTCAGAGAAACAGAGAGAGACAGAAAGTGAGACATCACCTCCCGGGGGGATAGCCACACCACAATCCCTTCTTTTCCATTCTCTTCTCATAATTTTGGGCTTGCAGGCACATGCACTGGGCCTGAGTTTTAAGCCACAGGGCCTGAAACTCGAATCACGGTTGACAAAGTGGGAGTCCAGTGACATAACTGTTACACCATCTGCTGGTCCCAAGTTTCATGAAAGATCTCCCTCTCTTTCTCTCTCTCACACACACACATCCTCAGTGAGAATAATGTTGCAAAACAGTTGATAGCTATATCTCTCTATTTATCTATCTATCTATCTATCTATCTATTATCTATCTACCTTTATACAGAGACAGAGCCTCAACAAGGCTTCATATTTCAGCACTCTCCAGCCTCTCCCAGGCAGCCAGGATGGAGCACAGGCACATGCCCAACATGTCCAAGTCAACCCAGGAACCGAATTCTCATCTTCCAGGAGGCAGGGCATTGCTCTACAGCCGTGCCACTGCAGCTGACCCTACCCCCCAATTTTTTAACACAACGAAAGAGAAGCATTTTTTTCTTTTGAATTTTATTTACCTAAGAGCACTTGAAGAAAAATGGTGTGTCTGATTCAGAGAAGAAACTGAGAGGGAACTTATCTACAAAGCAAGTGAAGTGTCATATATATTAATACATAGAAATAGTGACAGTGGGGAAAAAGAGTTGATCATAGCAATCACTTGAAAACACTCAGTGTCCCTGAATAATACAGAAATTAATTACAATGGCAAGAAAAGCCAAACCGCATATAATAAGAAGGGCAGATATTGCGATGTTAGAACGCGCCCAGTTTCTAACTGTACGGACAGTCCTGAGCACCCAGTCACTCTCACTCGCCTTCAGCTCTTGCCTCTGCTTTTCCACCTGCTGTCTCACCTTTGCCAGGTACTGCGCATACCCCTCTCCGGAGGTGCTGTCCCCGCACTGCTGGAGCATCTGGGCATCCAGGAAGAGGCTGTTGCTATAGACGGCTCCCTGGTGCTCCCTCTCCAGCTGCTCGACCACAGCCATGAGTTCCTGCCCCGTGGCCCGGTTGTTGAAGGCACAGAACCTCCTCCCACACTCCTGGACCAGGCCCCTCAGGCTGCGGTTGTCCGTGTTGGCCACATAATCACCCAAGGACTCGTCCTCTAGGTCCTCCTTATGGGTGAAGAGGATGACCATGTGTCTCATGGCCCCCACTCCAAAGACCTCTTTCACCCTCCTCACTGCCTCCGTGTCCTGGGCTGTGAAGCGACCCAGCTGAGTCACCAGGACCAGCACATGGGGCCCTGGGGTGCAGAGCAGGTAGCAGTCCCCGATGTCTTTGTACACGTCTTCAGTCTGGGCCCTGGACTCAAAGATGGGGGGTGTATCAACCACCAGGAGTTCCCTCCCATTCCACGTGCCAGCCTCTGCCTGACACGTTCTGGTCACTGCCTGGGCCCGCAGCTTGGACTCGAACACTGGCCGTTGCAGGATGCTGTTTCCAGTGGCGCTTTTCCCACAGCCTGTTTTGCCCACCAGGAGGATCTTCAATGAGGCCGATGTTGCAAAGTAGTTATCTTCTACCCCTCCTATAAAAAAATAGCTTTGATGTTGTGCTAAGCTGGTGATTGAGACTTTCACATCATTGATCGTCATGGGTAGCCCATGGAAACCGTGGACCTCTTCTCCATAAAAATAGGTATATTTCATGCCTCAACTGTATGCCCACATGTTTCATGTTTAGGTGGTTCTGGGGCTGGAGGAAGCCCCCGTTTAAGCCATGCCTGGACACACAGGCAGGGGTCAGAACTCCTACACTAGCAGATGTTCCACGTTCAGTTTTTCTGGGAGAAGTGGTTCCCGTGTGTCTTCCCCTGGGTGGCACTGAGGCCTTTCCAGGGAGAACTGTTTGCTGATAAATGTTATGAGATTAGATGGGGGGAGGTTAAGAGAAGGTACGGATGAGAAATGTGACCACCCATCTTTCACCCACTAATTCCCAAGCATATTTGTGCATATGTGCTCGACACATTCATCCAGTCTGAGGTCTGGAAGGCAGAGGCCAGGGCCAGCATGGTGCCAGCCAGGTGTCTCCAGGCCTGTGTTCTTTGGATGGGAGTGGATGTTTGAAATTGAGACAGAGGGCCACAGTTAATGATAGGAGGTGATTCTAAGGTGGGTGGTTGGAGAAGGGTGGAAGATTAGACCATTAAAAGCCTGTGTGTTGGAGAGTGTCCACTCGGCTGACAGAAGCATAGGGACTTCTAAGGAAGTAGTATTGGCAAGGGTGACTCTGAGCCACGAGCTAAGGGCATGAAGAGGATGAGAACTTGGGGATTTCTAGGGTTCTTAGAAGCCCAAATGAACTCTTTAGTGCATTTTAGTCTCCTAAAAAATATGTCATTGTATTTCTTCTACTCTGTGTTGGTTCTTTCTTTTAGTATTTTGTAACAGCAAACACTATGACTCAGTCTTTATGGAGAACATTTCTTTCAGCCGAGAGCAGACATGGAAAGGGAAATCATGTTCACGTGTGTGTGTGTGTGTGTGTGTGTGTGTGAGAAAGAGAGACAGAGAGACAGAGAGAGATATATAGAGAGATAGCAATGGTGGGTCAGTTACAGAGGGTTGGAGAGATGAAGAAAAAATGAGAGTTGCCTTCTCCTACCTCAGTTTAAAATATCTGGGTTTCTGTCACTGTGCTTGGGGATGGGGGACAGGAAGGGGGAGAACAATGACTCCCAGGGATCTGGAGCTCGTGAGAACTTCGAGGCTTTCTTACCTTCAGTGAATGCTTCATATCTGGTCTTCCAAAACCCTTCCATGCTCTTCTGAAATAAAAACAGGAAAGGTATGAAAAAACAAGTGCCCAAGGCCCAGGAGCTGTGAAAGCCTGAGAGCGCCTCAACTCTAAGAAAGCTGCTGCTTTTCTAACTCATGTTTTATGTTCAGACATCTGTAAATGACTAAATGACTGTAAGCAAAACAGGCCATGCTAGGGTTGCTAACACAACGCTGTGTTGCTTTTTGCCTCCTCAGCTTACAGCACAACAGGAAATGTTTTGAAGCACATCCGTTGATTATTTTTCCCCCAAGCTGAAAGGCATACATGAAGACTGCATTCTTCTATGGGACGAGGAGTGGGACATGCTGTTTTTATTGGAACCAAACAGGCAAGCTTGCTGTCAGAGGGAAAACGACGGCTTCTTGTAAATGACACTGGTGCATCTGAAGTACCCGGTATTTCTAGTCCCAGAAGCTGTTTGTGTCAGTGGGAATTCCAGAAAAAAGAAAGTACAGTTTACTTTCCAATAGGGGCTGTACTGGGGGGTTGGGGACTCCTCCCAGGACTGATGCAAGAGGAAGTCATGGAACTGGTTCCCGTGTGACCCACCTGAGTACGCGGTGCTGTAACCGACACGGCACCACATGAGGGCGAGTTCAAGACAAACTCATTTCCTGCTCAGTTTTTAATCTAATATCTTCCCTGTTCCATTCCGAGGTCCTGATCTCCCAATAATAATAATTATTATTTTTAATCCCAGCAGATTTTACTAGAAAGCGGCACAAACATTGGCATAAATGTTCTATTTAAATGAGGCATAATACTAAGTCTTGCCTCTTGGAGTCAGCAAAGGCAAGCATGCAGGGGGCCTGTAGCCTCGTGGTGAAGGGAGGTCACATGACCATCACGGATTCTATACAGCTGATCGCAGTTTGAGTCCCAGCCCTGCTGGCTTCAAAAACACACCGGGTGCGGATGTGTGCCTGCCCAGGACCATGTTATATATGAGACTATAATTAAAATGAATTACGTTATATTTGATTTATTCAGTTTTAAAGAAGCAGTAATTATGAAATAAACTGCTCAAGTGGACAAAGACAAAGAATAAAAAACCAAAGTATCCATCACTTGCAATAAAGAAAATGTGTTTTGTTTTACAGTGGTTGTTAGGTTTGATTGAAAAAATTAAGATGTTATGGCTAGAGCTCAAATCTCTTTCTTTCTTTTATTCCCCCCTTATCCTCAGCTTTATCCTCCTCCCTCCTTACTTGCCAGGGGCCACCAATACTCTGAGATTTTTACACAATACTCTTATTTGTGTATTGACACTTTGGCATGCATATCTGTCTATGGACAATATATAATTTTCATATTATATATATATATATTTGTACTTTAACCTTTTACATAAATGGATTATTAATATAACATTTTATCCAATTCTTTATTAACAAATATCAAACTGTTCTGAAATAGTTGCTTCGTGCTACAAGCAATGCTGCAAGACAGTCCCCACACGTCTCTCCCTACGCACGTGCAACAGTTGATGGAGGATGCACAGTTTCCAGCTGAGCAGACAGAACAAGGACAGCTCCGAGGGAGTGGTTCTAGCCCACGTTACACCCGTCACATGTGAGAATCCCACATCTTCACAGGCTCTGGGTGCTGCCACACCTCCCACTTCTGTCCACCTTAGTGTGGCAATAAGGATGTCTTAACAGGTTTAAATCTGCCTTTTACTGATTACCACTGAATTAAAAACAGTTTCATAGTTCATTTGCCATTTATGTTGCTTCTGTTGTTTCTATTTTTTGCACATTTTTATGGGACTTCAGTGGATTTTCTTGACCCTCTGTAGGAAGAGCCAGCCATTTCACATTACTAGAATAATGAAGGAAACCTCCCTCCTCTTCTCCCCTCCTTTCCCTTCCCACACCCCTACTCTTCCTTCTCCTTCCCCCACTTCCCTTCTCCCCTTCCTTCTTTCTTTCCTTTTCCTAAGTCTGGAGAAGAGCATTCTGCGCCGTTTATGTCTCTGGTAAATTAACCCTGGCTTTTGCTCGCATGGCCCCGAATCGCCGACATAGTTTCTAGGCAGACGGTGTTTTGCGAGGTGTAGAATCGGCATCTGGATGTGGAAATTGGTGACGACGGCGGAGAAGAAGCTGATGGCGTGTGTCACCATGGCAGCAACCCTCAGTGCAGCCATCCACCATGTCCGAATCCTTTCATGTCTGTCGCTTTAATTATTCCCCTAAATTCCCTGTGATGTGCTCAAGACTGGCATTACATTTCCTGTTACGATATTAGGAAATTAGCATCGAGTAGCCTGCCCAAGGTTACCTATTTGTCATGGAGCCAAGCCAGAAAATGGTTCCTTTCGCCTGTGTATTTCCCTTGACTCTAAAGGGGGAAAAGGAGACTTTTCCAAATAAGGCAGTGAACCTCTAGGACAATCAAACGATGCTGCCATCCCACCGTTAGGACACAAATCGATGGTGACAGGCTGGGAGGCTGCCCTAAAACAAGAATCGTCTTGTGCAGGTTAAAAAAAAAAAAGAAAGAAAGGAGAGAAAGAAAACAGGAAGAAAGAAAGAAAAAAGAAGAAAGAAAGGAAAAAGAAAGAGAAGAAAGAAAGGTAAGGAAAGAAAGAGAAAAGAAAGAGATTATTCAAAGATAAAACAGCAGGGGGCAAGAGTCGCTCTGAATGGAAGCACTGCAGTCTGGTGTCTTTACCTGACCTGGTTTTCAGTGTTGCCCGAGTGGAGCCCTGTGCCGATCACAAAAGCCAGTTACATTAGCCAAGATGCAGCAAAAACAGTTCTTCTGGACTGACTATGCAGTGGGTCAGGCTGCAAGGAGAGCCTCACGTCGGGTCTTTAGAGTTCATTGAAAATGGAGCTGGCAGGTGGCATGGTGAAGGCGCTGGACTCCCACATGGCTGACCATGGTTTGAATCCCAGACCTGGTAGCTTGCTTTTTCACTTTCCCCCTCTCTCTGTCTCTCTCTGGTGAGTACACATGCCCTATGGCAAATTAAAAGAATAATTTAAAAATTAAATACATAATTATACTTTTAAAAGTTCCTTGAAAATGCATATTATGAAAAAAATTGTGACTGAATTTCCAACTCTTTTTGCAGCGAAAGAACCTCATACTTTAATTCCATGAACTTTCTAAAGTCTTCTTGTATATCCCACTGTTGCACAGTTTTTGGGGGTGAGGGGACAAATACAAACAAATAACGAAGTATTCAGAGCCGACAGGTGTTCGAGGGACCGAGACAGCCCAGGCAAGGGCAGGGAATGTGCTGCGTGCTGATCTGCAAAGCAGACACAGCGGGAAATCCAGAAGGCAGGCCGATGATTTTCCTCCAGAGGAAAAATTCCATGACTCCCCAAGGGGAGCAGGGGTCATGGCTGGCAGGCAGGTGAAAGCAGGGGAGCACCTGCGGCTGCGTGGGCCGGCAGAGGGCCTGCTGAGGGAGGACGGGGAGACAAGTGAACACAGGGCTCATCTGATGTGAAACTGCGGAAGTCAATTTTACAATCCCAAAATGGCAGGCTCTCCTCTGCTGTGCTAGGAAAGATAAGATGACTTCTCGCCTTCCTGACCCTCAGTCCCTTCCCCCGTCTGCCCTGCCCTCTCTGTCCAGGTGTCGCGTCACATGTTTTGCAGTTTGGTCACCGTGATTCCATGACAGCCTCACCTCTCTCACGGCTCTAGCTGACAAGGCGATTGCTCACGTGTCCTGCACGGAGTCTGCTGCCCTCGGGTAACGTCTGCACACCTGGGAGGTGTGGGTACTGAGGAGAGAACGGAGAGGTTTTCAGATCAAGGTCATATGGGCTGTGGGGGTGGCTTGGAAGAAGAGGGTCATGGGATGGAAACAATCTCACATCTGCCCTCGGAAGCCCAAAGAATGCAGCCTTTACTCCGGGCCACCCTGGGCTGTGGTACTGTCAGACTGGGGGCGGGGGCACCAGAGGTCAGGAGGTGACATTGAGAAGTATGCCCCTACCACAAGAGGGGAGCTCGGGAAGTTTCCTCGTGTCAAACGGGATGAGGGCATCAGTCCAGAAGTTCTCAGGAAGCACCAAAGGGCTGAGTAATAAACAACCAGACAGAAACCTGGGCACTGGGACAGGCACTGGGACGGCCACGCGGCGAGCCCGGAGCCAGTGGGTTTTAAAACGCTCACCTGGTTGGCCCCGTTTGACGGACTGGGAACCCTGAAGTACCTTGGCATGTGTCAGGTCACATCAGAACGAGCAGCTGTGGCCCTTCCACCCCCCAAGTCTCTGCCTCGATCCTGTCCTTACCAGGAGTGACTGCCAGCTGAGTCCTCTGGGTCTGCGTGTCCTGGTCGAAGGTCTTCTGTGGCTTAGAGACTGCAGCAGTTGGTCTGGAGGGTGAGGCGGCAGCTCCCGGGGCCAGGGGAAGCTGAGCCACTGGGTGGAGGAGGAGTCACTGGCTGCTGAGAATGTTCTAGGCTCCCACCCACCTCTGCTGCAGGGAAGGGAAGAAAGAGGGGATTGCCATGAGCACCCCCTCCCACCCCACTGCCAGACTCAGCCCCCG